GAGCCTCGGTGCGGTGCCCACACTGCTACCCTTGCCTCGCTCTCGCCTGTTCTGGGGGCCTCCCGGGAAGATCTCGTCGACACCGCTGGCTTCGCCTCGAGATTCTGGCCAAACCGCATCCCAGGAGAGGTCCTGTGAGTAGCCGTATTGGTACCTCTCGGGCCTCTCGGTTTCCCCAAGCGAGATTTCAGACGAGGTCAAGACGAGGATACATTCGGGTGAGGAGAAACCGAGAATCTCTAAGATGTGTGGCCTTCTCAGACCATTCTGGAGTGCTCTGAGAGCGTTCTGGAGCGCTCCAGAACACATTTATCCTCATTCTAGTCTTAGGTCGGGCATGTCCTCATGTAGGCGCATTTTCGAGAAACAAAACATAATAGTCAAAACATATTCCCAAATGGCCAAACATATTCCCCAAACCATTTCTTTTTGAATACGTTTGCATCTTCCTCCTGTAGGGGGTCACGCCCGACTCCAATATATCCTCGTCCTAGCCCTGTCCGAGGCCTTCCCCCCTCCCGGATACGCCCCGACACATCTCCAGGGAGGGCCTTCGCAAAAGGCCGCTCTCTGGCACGCCCGAGGAGTACCTCCCGAAAGAGAGGAGACCGAGAGCCCCCCCCCCCCGACGAGCGTCCGAGGACCTCCCTAGGGGGAGGAGGGTCCTCCCTTCTCCCTCTTGATGGGCCTGTTTTCCACCACCACCACCACCATAAGTTAGAGGGGGAAAGAGGAGGAGGACGAGGAGGAAGAGGACGAGGAGGAGGAGGAACAGGAGGAGGCGGCGGAGGAGGAGGAGGGGGAGGAGGAGGACCCCCTCCCCCTCCAGCTTAGGGTGGTGGTGGTGGGAAACAGGCCCAGCACCCTTCCCAGACCCCCTCGGGCAGAACACAAAATCACGACGGGAGTTTTTTTTTCCACGTTTTCGGCCTCTCGGGGTCCTTACCGGCCTCGGGACCGCAAAATAACGACTCAGGATGAAAAACGCGTCCTGGGGGATGGGTCGAGACCCTTGATGGTCGGCGTTATGAAAAAATCAGCACGTCGGGAGCCTAGGTCATATATCCCCACTCCACCCCTCTGATTCTTCCTCGTCGTCGTTCGTTGCTCTAGTGCTCCACTGGCTCCTCCTCACCCTGCTCCTCCTGCTCCCCCTGCTACTCCTGCTCCTCCTCCTCCACGCCCTCCACTCCATCGTCCTTGTCACCCCCCTCTGCATCCCCCTGCGTTACTCCTCGTCATCGTACTGTCCTCGTCGTTTGATGTCCTCCTCGTCGTCGTACTTTCCTCCTGCATTGCTCCTCATCTTCCTCTCGCGGGCGGCCAAAGACGGGGGCGGAGTCCGGGAAGGGGGTTCGCATTCCATGACCCAAGGCACGTGAGAGGACGAGGGGGACCAAGGGGGGTATTGCAAGAATAATACCGGGCGGATGATAATGGGGGTGACCTTGATGCGGGTACGAAGAAAAGTGTCCTAGAAGGGCACGTTGGGTTTCCTTGTGTGGCCCCATGTTGGCTCCACGAGGGTCCCCACGAGGCACCTTTTGATGCATTTTGTAGACTCACCTTCCATGTGGGGTCCGCCCAAACCACCCGCTTCGAAAAGAGCGGTCCAAAATATTCGGAGAGATGTCATGGCTCCGTCCAAAAGACAGTCGGCCCGTATCACAAGGATGCGCGATAAGGATGCCAGGGCCTCGAACGTCCATTTCGAAGCTTCTCGAGCGGAGCGCGGCCAACAAACGTGGCCAAGGATGGACCGTGAAGGCAAAGATGCAAGAGTACCCTCGAGAAGGTGGCCGATCCTTACTATGCGGGTTGACTGTATGCCCTCTCTTGGGGAACGAAAACTTACATAAACCAGAAAACCAAGAGGTCCGCGCGGATTTCTCGGATCCGCGCTGGACCCCCCTCCCTGGCGTGCGGAGCGCACCAGGTGCGGCGCCAGAGGCGCCGCTGGGGGCCCAGCGCGGATCCAAGAGATCCGCGCGGAGCGCCAACAGTTTCTGCTTATGCCGTTTTCTCTTCTTCGACTGTCTGCCCCCCCCCCCCCCCCAGACGTCGCCCCCGTCGTGCGTGGACGTCCCCGAATTTTATTGTTTATGTCATTGTTCGTTCCCCTGCCCCCCCCCCCCCCAGCCATCGCCCCAATCTCTGACGCCCCCGAAACCCTCGTCCTTCCACCCTCCGCCCGCTGCCCCCTCCCGGGGGCCGCCTTCGCCGCCGTCTGCTGGCGGCGGCGCCGCCAGCCCGCCGGCCATCGCCTGCTAGAGGAGGAGGAGGAGGAGGAGGAGGAGGAGAAGGAGGAGGAGAGGAGAAGCAGGAGGAGGAGCAGGAGGAGGAGGAGGAGGAGGAGGAGGAGGAAGAGGCAGAGGGAGGAGGAGGCAGAGGGAGGAGCAGGCGGAGGAGGAGGAGGAGGCAGAGGGAGGAGGAGGCGGAGGAGGAGGGGGAGGAGGCAGATGGAGCAGGAGGCGGAGGAGGAGGGGGAGGAGGAGGGGGAGGACTACTCACGATCGCCGAGAATTGCGAGCTGCCCCCCCCCGCGTCCGCAAAAGACGCCGTGGCCGGCCGCGGCGCCCCGCGGCGGCGGCCCTGGAGCCGCCCGCGCCACGCATGGGCCCCGCGGGCCCGCCGGGCGGGGCCAGCGCACCCTGCAGGGCAGTCGGCGCGGCCGCCGCGGCCGCTGCCGAGGTCTGCGTCACCGCCGTCGCCGTCCCCGTCGCCTGCTAAGACGAAGCCCCTTCCTCCTCCTCCTCCTCCTCCTCCTCCTCCTCCTCCTCCTTCTCCTCCTCCTACTCGTCCTCGTGTTCCTCCTCCTTCTCCTCCTCGTCTTCCCACTCATCCTTCTCCTCCTCGTCTTCCCCCTCCTCCTCCATTCCTCCTCCTCCTACTCCGCCTCCTCCTCCTCCGCCTCCTCCTCCTCCTCAAATCCGAAAAGAAAATCGGGTAAGGACAAATCGAGAATCTGTGAGAGCTGGCGGCTCAGTGTGATGTTTCGGGCGCCGCGGCCTTCTCAGAGCGTTCCAGGAGGCTCCGAAAGCGTTCCGGAACGCTCTGGCACGGTTTCCTCTCCTCGTCCTAGCCCCGTCCGGTCACCGGCGTCGCCGTCGCCTTTGGCCTTCGCGCCCGAAACGGACGCGATGCCCATCAGCAGGAGATGTCCAACATCGACACAAGCAGCTGGTGGGCAAGCGACCTTCTGTCGCGAATGGACAAAGGCTGCAACGACGCTAACAACGAGTCTTGTTCAAAACGGGCAAGACTTGATGTCGGTCGTCGTACCAATTCTTCCCGCCTCCGTTTCGGTCCTACCGGTTTGCCATCGCCGTCGCCGTCGGGGCCGCTGGCCGCAGTCGCCGTCGAGGCCTCTGGCCACCGTCGCCGTCGAGGCCGCTGGCCGCCGTCGCCGTGGAGGGGGACGACATTGGTGATCATTGCGGTTAGCTGGCTGGCCAGCGGGGGCGACTGGAGAAACACGGATGCAAGGGTACCCTGGGCAAGTCGCTCGTCCTGATCAGGAGGTTCGCCACTGGGCTCGCCTGGCAGCGTTTCCGACATCGCAACCCTAGATATTTTCCGCGAGGGCCTCCGAAAGCTTATGATTGTGAGCTGTTGTCGTCTTCGCTCCTCCTCCTGCTTCGCCCTCGCGATACAGTGAGGGCATACTTTAACACTTCGGGCCAGACGGCTTGCTCGCAAATGAATTCGGACGGGCGCATGGGGCGCCCAGGATGGTCTGCGGCCCCGACTCAGCCTCGTGGCAACGGGGCTAGGGTTCAACCTCCTCGCGCTGAGCGGCGGCCCTCGCCGCTATTTCAGCCACCGCAAGGCGACCTCTCTGGCGGGCCTCCTCGGCGGAAGCGAACCCGTGAGAAGCAAACGCTTCCTCGAGCGATGGCAAAATGAGTCGGACAGGCCGACCAGAGGGACGGAACCAGGCCCTGCCGCAGGCGGTCCCTTGGGCGGCGGCTGCCCCAAGAAAGGCATCGGAGACGCCCAACACCTGCGCCCACTTTGCCTTCGTGGCCGCCGTGGGCGAAATTAACTCTGAGATGGGCGCTTTCCCCTTCCCGGGTAGCACGCGCCTTGCAAAAATCATTGTGAGCCTGGGCCCTCGAACCCTGCGAGGACCTCCCGCCAGAACCAGCACACTCCCTGGCCGGCCCTCGGTGATCGTACGGAGGCCCGTGGACACGTGTAGACATCGTCGCCTACCCCTCTCACGTCCGACGGGAAGCGGGCGGCGCGGGCGAGGAGCTGGACCAGTGCAGCGGGGGCGCCAGAGACTCCGAACGGGCAGGCCCTCGGACGGGCAAGCGCCTCGGGACATCGCCAACGAGCGGCACCTCGACCTCGCCGCCCTCGGGCCCGCCGCCCGCGGTCCACGCCGCGCGCAGCGCCGCACGCGCGCCCTCGTCCCCCACGCGGTTGGACCTGAGGTCGAAGGCATGCAGGCTCGGCAGGGCGCCCGGGGGCCCCGAGGGCCTCCGCCAGGGCGGCCGCGCCCTCGTCCCCCACGCGGCTGTCGTCGAGGTCGAACACCTGCAGGCTCGGCACGGCGCCCGGGGCCCCGAGGGCGGGGATCCACGATGATTAGACTTCAGAGATGCAACAATCCGACCGCGGAACCCCTCTTCAGCTACGCGACCAGGGACGGCAAGTGACCGTTCGGCCCCCTCACTCTGGTATGGGTGGAAGGTCCACGTGCGCAAAGGTGCGCGCACGGTCATGCTTCTCCGCACGCGTGCGTGTGAGTCTGAGTGTGTGTGCATTCGTCGTCGCGTGGCACACGTCTACGGATACACAGATGGAGATGCGCAGGGACACCCGTCGCCCTGGCGAGTACACGTGTTTCTTATGTGCATCTGATGCGTGCTTGCACCGACTGAGCCTGACTGACACTTGGAGAGCTCAAATAGTGCGCGAGTGGATGCGTCGCACCACAACGAAGGCGATGGGATGATTGGGTGCGTGTGATGCTGCAAGGCACGGGACACATTTTCTCACCGCCGCCAACCGCGTAATACACATGTCTTTGCAGCAGGAGCTGGTCTGCAGACTACAAGTTCTTGCAAGCACAAACGAGTGAACACTCTAGAACTAGAGTCCCACGACATTGGACAAACTACAATCGGACCTTGAAAGCTTGCAGCAATTACATGGATGGAAGGCGGTGCACATGCTCAAATGTGTCTTGAATGATGTTCAAAGGTCTCACTACAAAACGGGGCTGGCCAAACCGCCTGCAGTTTGCAGCCCACCTGCACTACTACCCGCCTACGCAACCCGCCTGCATTCCAGGCGCAATCCGTCCACAGTCAGTCCCATTCTGGTGAAGCAGGCTGGTATATCATTCAATGTCTACGCCAGCCCTACGCTAAGACCCCGTCGTTGCCACCTGCAACTGAATTGCGCACACTGTTGTTGTAATGACGTGCTGATGGATGTTGCCTGATGGATGAGTTCCGTTCCAACACGGGGCTCGTGCGCGAGGCTTCCTCACCTTTCAACGAGCAGAAACGTAAAAATACTAAGACAGTGCCCAGATGGTGGGCTTTTTTCCGCGGGAGCGCTGCTCTCGCTGGGCACCTGGCTGAACTTTCAAACTTACCTGTTCGCATTCTTTGGAGGAACAAAAAGGCGAGGAGGAGGGGGACCGCGTCCTCCTCCTTAACCTCCTCCTCCTCCAGCGGATGGGCAGAAATAGGAAACGAAGAAGGCGAAGAAGAGACAGGATGAATCGGAGAAGGCAGGGGAGGATGACCTTGAGGAGGCAGGTAGCTGAGGAGGCAGGCAGAGGAGGAGGCAGGTGAGGGGGATACGGCAGAGGAGGAGGAGGAGGAGGAGGAGGAGGAGAAAGACCTCCTCCTCCTCCTCCTTCTCCTCCGCCTCTGCCTCCTCGGCCTCCTCCCCCTCCTCTGCCTCTTCCTCCTCCTCCTCCTCCTCCTCCTCCTCCTCCTCCTCCTCCTCCTCCTCCTCCTCCTCCTCCTCCTCCTCCTCCCCTCCCCCTCTCCCTCCTCCTCCCCGGCCTCCTCGTGCTCCTTCCTCCTCCTCCTCCTCCTCCTCCTCCTCCTCCTCCTCCTCCTCCTCCTGCTCCGCAGCGGGCGGCGGGGGACGGCGTGCCCCGCGGCAGCGCCCGCACGGCCAGACCGCCCCGCAGCCCGCGCGAGCAGAGCGACAACCGATTGGCATAACACACGGCGGGGCGCCGCCAATTCGCGCGCGGAAGGGGGGGGTCCTCCGCGCCCCCGCCGCCTACGGCGGTGGGGGCAGTTGCGCGGGCAGTTGCGCGATGAGTGAGGGGCAGCGATTCGAGTAGGAGATCGGCTGCATGATTGATTTACGCTTGAATGGACTGGTCCGAAGAATCTACACACAGATACGTCTCACGCGCGTAGTTCTACGAATGATAAGATTTTTTGCAACTTCGACGATCATGTCAACTCTGGGGTGAATCGATCCATCAGTCGATCCCCTACTAGACTGCTGAGGGGCAAAGTTCGGGGAGAGCTGGCCCAAGGGGGGGAACATCGACATGGGATCGGTGATTGATCGCCGATGGCCTCGAGATCGACACGGAATCGACGTGAAATCACATGAAACCGACGGCTCTCCAGCCTCGGGATGCCTTCTCCAGCAGCTGCGCCAGATCGTCCCGAACGGCCGCCGTAGACCCGAGATTTGACCAGAAAGTACTGGCTGATCATCGATACCCAGACCCCCTCGCGTTGTGAAGAAATCGCGACGGGAAGTTTCTCACTATTTTCGACCTCCGGGGGTCCTGACCGGGCCTCGGGACCGTCACACACGAGTCAGGATGAAACACCCCCGATAGCGACACCGCGCGCTCCTGGGCGGGCTGGGGCTCTCTCGGTGAGCAGTGGGCGATCGGTGGTCGATGCGTCCCCCCTGAGCCTACCCCCCCCAACGCGTTGCGTCTGAGTGGGGCCAGCTGGGGGCGGCCAAGAGGGTGGTGTGCAAGAGGGGGGGGCGCACATCGTGGCCAGCGGCATGTGCGCGGCCCAGGGGGGAGGGGGGCAGGGACGCATTGAAACAAGAAGATGCGCCATGAGATCTACTGAACCGTTATGCTCCCCGCCAGGATACCATCCCCCAAACTAATCACCCCCCTCGCTGCCGCCCCCGAGTTGCGTCTGAGTGGGGCCAGGGGGGACCCGGCGCGGCAATCTTTCGCACCGCGCCAGGGAGCGAATTGAGCTGCAGCGCAGGTGGTCGGGGGAGAGAGGATCGAGGCTTCTGTTGTTCCCATCGTACTGAAAGACCACATCCAAGAAATGATTTCGAGCACCCAGAAAAATGTCGAAACAGTGTCGAAACAGTGTCGAACAAGTGTCTCCCAGGGCCCGACACGTGAAAACCCTCAAATTTCGGCACTTTCCTGGTGCTCGAAACTCTTTCTGGTGATCAAGGCTAAGGTAGGTTGAACCAACTTAAATCAATTCCTCGAGGAGCCATGCTAGCGGGGAGGGTCGAGGAGGACGGAGCTCGCATCGGGGAGGCGGGTCCCGAGGGTTCAACGGGGGCCCTGGGCCCCGGGACCTTTCCCCATGACCCTCCTCCTCCTCCTCCTCCTCCTCCTCCTCCTCCTCCTCCTCCTCCTCCTCCCTCCTCCTCCTCCTCCTCCTCCTCCTCCTCCTCCTCCTCCTCCTCCGCCTCCTGTCCTCCTCCTCCTCCTCCTCCTCCTCCTCCTCCTCCTCCTCCTCCTCCTCCTCCTCCTCCTCCTCCTCCCCTTCCCCTCCCCCCTCCTCCCCCTCCTGCTCCTCCTCTCGCTCGTCCTGCGTCGTTTTCCGACGGGCCCGGGGCCCGTGAGGGCCGCGAGGGCCCGCAGGAAACGATAAAAAACACCAGGCCCTGCTGTCCTCCCCTCGGGGCCCGCTCCCCCCCCCCCGGGCGAGCGGAGGGGCCCTGGGCGCAGCAGCAGCTCCCCGTGGGCCCCTCGAGGCCCAGGCCGCCACGACTGGGCGCAGCTCGACGCGCTGGGCCGGGGACTCCGCGATGCTCTCGGGGGGCGGCGCGCCCAGGCCCCCCCCCCCCCGCGCCGCGCGACAGCGCACCGCGGCGAGGGGCGCCTGGCAGAAGCCCTGCCTCCCGGGGGAGGGGTCCTCGCCGGGCGCGCGGGGCCGTCGAGGGAGACGCCTCATCGGGCCGCCGAGGACCGGCGGCGAGCAATGGCGGGGGGGAGGGGACTCTCAGAAGGTGGCGGGGCCTCTCAGAAACCTCTCCAGCCTTCCCCACCCTCTCATTCGTCTGGACCTTCCGCCCTGGCCTCACGCTCCTTTTTCCGCATGTGATCGATGTGGGTTTCCTGGAGCTGCGTACGGCTCCCAAGAGTCCCCTCCCCCCCTCATTCTTCCGGCCCGTCGGAAAACGACGCAGGACGAGCGAGAGGAGGAGCAGGAGGGGGAGGAGGGGGAGGAGGGGAAGGGGGAGGAGGAGGGAGGAGGAGGAGGAGGAGGAGGAGGAGGAGGAGGAGGAGGAGGAGGACGTCCGCCACTTTCCCCCCTGTGATCGATGTGTGGGCTTCCTGGAACTGCGCACGGCGTCCCGGGAGTCTCGATGGCTGCCCCCGCACCCTCCACGGAGGTCGGCAGGCATGAGAGTGGAGAAGGGAGGATCTGAAGAGGAGGAGGAGGAGGAGGAGGAGGAGGGGGAGGAGGAGGAGGGGGAGGAGGGAGGAAGAGGAGGAGGAGGAGGAGGAGGAGGAGGAGGAGGAGGAGGAGGAGGAGGAGGGACGGGGAGCTTCCGAGCCCTCTGAGAAGGCCCGCACCCTCCACGTTGTCGCTGTAAGCCTTCCCCGAAAACACAGAAAAACTGATCATAAGGCCAGAGGCCTTCCGAGCCTTCTGAGGAGGCCCGCCCCTTCGCGCTCTTCCGCCCCCCGGGCGCGCCGCCGAGAGAGGCGCCAACCCCCCGGGGAGAGGAGCTCTAGGCCTCTGGGAGCCCGCGCCGCTGCGAACAAGTCCCCCGACGTCTGGAGGAGGAGGAGGAGGAGGAGGAGGAGGAGGAGGAGGAGGAAGAGGAGGAAGAGGAGGAGGATGAGGAGGAGGAGAGGGCGAGACTAGAGGCCTCCTTGGTGGGGTCCGAGTAGATGGGGTTGAAGGATGGCGCCGCATCGGCGATGCATCGGCGATGCATCGGCGGCGCATCGGCGACGTCGGCGATGCATCGGCGACGCCGGCGTGGGAAAACACGGACTCCACATCGAGCCGCATCCTCGATGCATCGTCGATGCGGCGCGATCCCCCTACCACATCTGCTCGGACCCCATCTAGGAGGCCTCGAGAGACGGAGGAAGGACGAGGGGCGAGGGGAGGAGGGAGGCGGGAGATCGGGGAGGACCAGAGCAAAAGGCCCGAAGAGGGCCATCGCGGCACTGGAGGTCCCTTGGCAGGACCCCCTGCGCAGAGCTGCTCTCGAGGCCCGGGGAGCTCCGCCCAAGGGCGAACCTCCAGATGCCGGGTCGACGGACAACCCTGGGAACGCCTACGGGGGGAAGGGGGGGGCGAGCAGGGGGTCGCGCGGGCGGGGGGGGACGGCGAGGAGCGGGGGGAGGGGACCAGGAGAGGGGAGGAGGTAGAGAAGGGGAACGGGGATGCGGACAAGAAGGGATAGGGAGAGAGAGTTATCGAGATAGAGAAGGTGGAGAGGGATGAGAGGGAGACTTCTTCGATTCTCGTTGGACGAGCTCCATCCATCCCCCCTCCCCTCGGCCTCACTCCCTCTCCCCTTGCCCGACCCCTCTCCCTGCCAACCCACCCCAAGTTACCCTCTTCTCTCTCGCCCCTCGACGATTCCACCTCTTTCCTCTCAAGACAATACGGTCGTGTGCTCCCGCCTACTTCGCGTACTGTTCTTTCCATACTCAGGCCTCACACAAAATTGTCTAACTACGCTATGTTGTTTCTCATGCGACGGTCCCGGTTTTTCATCCATCAGCAATGGTGATCCCGCTGCAGCGCTTTCCACATTTCATGATCAGCGCTTCGCTCCCATCGATCAAGTTGAAAGCTCGAGCATCTCGCGTCCTGAACAAGAACAGGTCGGGGAATATGTCCCCGCTTTCGGCCTTTGTGGGCCCTCACTGGGCCCCAGGACCGTCAACACACGAGTCAGGACGAAAAACCGGTCCCTGAGAAAGGGCCGGGACTTGCGGGGATCGTGTGCTGAACAAATCAAGACGTCGCATGTCCAAGAGTCGATCTGGGCCAGGCAACGGTCACTTTTCTGGATCGGATTCCTTCCCCGTCGTTGCCGCCCCCCTCTTTGTCATCCTGCTCATCATTGTTATCCTGCTCCTCCTTCTCTTCGTCCTCGTTCCTGATCCTGATCCTCTTCTCCAGCGCTTCCTGCTCATACGCATCCAGCTCATCCTTCTCCTCCTCCTGCTCCTCTTCCTCCTCCTCCATCTCCTCTACCCCAGCTTCCTCAGAGGTGCCCAAAAAAAGTTGCGTGTACGCAGCAGACGGTGGGTCAAGCCCAGCACTCGCTGTGGACTTCGAGGACACCCAAGTCGGCGAGCAGGAAAGAATGCAGCGCAGTGTGAAGGGATGGGTGGGAGGGGCAGACGTGGCTCGGACACACCACCTGCATTGACTCGTCCCACGCCCCTTCCTCCCCCCCCCCTGCACACATACTCGATGTCAGAACTGCGTTCCTCCCTACCCGCATCCTGTGCCGGGCGCCGCTTCCCCCGCGCGGCGTTGCTTCTGAGGGCACAAAGGGGGGCTCAACAACTGATGCCGCACGAGGGTGTACGCGTCTCCATTCGGAACGCTGCCCCTCCGAACACTGGAGCTCCAGCTGCAGCATTGGCCTCCTGTCGGGATCGGCGCTGCGCCCCTGTCGTTCGGAGTGGTGGTCCCGCCCCGAGTCGGGCCACACTCTTGGATTCGATGCTTTCCTCGTCGCTGTCGCCCCCTCCTTTCTCTCATCTGCCTTCTCCTGGTCATCCCGTTCCTGGCGATCCTCCTGCTCCCGTCCCTGTTGCTGCTGCTACTGATCCTCCTCCTCTTGCTCCTCCTCCTCCTCCTCCTCCTCCTCCTCATCCCTCTCTGCTCTGTTTCCCGCTCATCCTCCTGCTCATCCGCCACATCCTCTTCCAATGTTCGCAGCTACCCTGTCTAATTGAAGATTGCACGATGGGGCCAGTTGGTGGACCCAAGTCCGCAGACATCCGTCGGCGAACAGAAAAAATATCCTGGCGAAGGACGCGACCATGCCCATGCGTGAATATCTCAAGGCAGGAGGGGTGAAGAAGGGGGGTATTCCTGTTGGGCCTCGAGGCGCGCCAGGGGAATGCCGAAATTGGCGGCGGGTGGGCGCATGTGGATGGACCTAGGTGAGTTGTTCTGTTGTGGGGCTGTGGAGCGCGTGAGAAGTTTACCGACATGGACAGGAAGGCCATGTGGACACAGCCGCTCGGGCCGTGGGTGGAGCCGGAGGAGGAGGCGGAGGAGGCGGAGGAGGAGGAGGAGGAGGAGGAGGAGGAGAAGGAGGAGGAGGAGGAGGAGGATGGAGGAGGAAGAGGAGGAGGAGGAGGAGGAGGGAGAGAGGGAGTAGGAGGAGGAGGAGGAGGAGGAGGAGGAGGAGGATGAGGGGAGGAGCATGGATGGAGGAGGGAGGATGCCACAGGGGCCGCCCGCGGCCGCTCGGCGCAGGGCCGGCCGCTCAGCGGGGCGCGGCAGCGCGCCGACGGGCCGAGGGCCGCGCCCCCGGCTCAGCGGAAGGCCAGGCCGTCGGGCGCCAGGCCGCTCGGCGGCGGCGGGGCCGCCTCTTCGGCGGGCGGCGGGCCGACGACGTCTGCGACGACGACGACGAGGAGGAGGAGGAGGACGACGAGGACGGCGACGACGACGAACACGAGGACGAGGACGAAGACGAGGACGACGACATCGACGACGACGACGACGACGACGACGACCTCACCTTCCTGCCCTCCCTGCGGCTGCGGCGGCTGGCCAGAGGCCGGTGCCGGCGGGCGGGGGCCGAGAGGCCGATCGGAGGCGGGCGGGGCGCGCGAGGGGGCCGCGGGGGGCCGCCGCGGGCCGCGGACCCGCGGCGACGGGGCGGCCGCGGCGGCGGGGCGGAGGCGATGCGGCGGCCGGCCGAAGGCGGGGCGGCGAGCGGGGGGGGCGAGGGCCGAGGAGGCGGGCGGCGGGCGGGGAGGGCGAGGCCAGCGAGAGGGCGAGGGCGAGGTGCGCAAGGGCGAGGGGGGAGGAGTTGCAGCAGCTGGAGCGGCAGGGAGAGGTTAGACGCCCAGCATCTTCGGCCACCTCTGCTCGATCCGCCTCCTTCTCCTCCCTGCTCGTAGCCAGCAGCGGACGCGCGATAATCTGGAGCAGGGTCCTCAAAGGTCAAACGCAGGCGCCATTGCTCGGATTGTGTACGCGTCGAAGATGTCTAGCGAGTCAGCTGCTCATGCAACGCGGTCGAACGTTTCAAACATTCAGCGGGCGATCCCCGCCAAGAAGATCCAATGCATGTCCTACAAAAGCACTGCTACCACTACCACTGCCACCATAACCAATTGCTTCACCACCATGAACGCGACCGCAGAACAGAAGGACACGACTTCCGTCCGCCGGCAACAAAAACATTCGACTGAGCATCAGATTCGCTTGACCTCGTGGGGGCTAGATCCGCTACGATCGGGTACAAGCTCGAGCTCGATAGAGACAGGGCTAGAAAGAGGCTGGCCGGGCAAACGTCACCACAATCAGGGAGTAGGCGAGGCGGACGAGTCGGGGGTCGGATTCCGACAATTCAATTAGAGGGCAGGAAATCCCCCCGTAAAACTCACCCCGACACGCGAAGCCGTTTAGTAAACGCACCACAGACGGAATCGAACAGGGCAGGGCTATTCAGTAAACGCCCAGAGCCGTTTAGTAAACGTCAGTTATCGGGTCCGGGTGGTTTGTCCTCCCTTGATGTATGACCTCGGGCTGAGCGATGTGGAAGCCAACGTATTTTCTTTAATCTCTAAGATGTCCCGAGAAAATCGCCTGCAGCTGTTCACCCCTGTCAGCGCGGAGGACGCGCAGGGTGACCAATAATCGTGAATGTGATACTGACTATAGGTATGACCACTCGCCACCTCGGTGCGCGCGAGGAGATAGCGACTTACTGGCGAAAGCCCTACCACTTGTTCGAGTGCGCGCCATGGTCTGCGGAGCCACCTTCATGGGTCCCTGCACCCATCCCCACATGGTGACGCGGCAGCTCCGTCGTGACCGCGATAGAGCTCTTCGTGCAAGGCGTCATCATCTCCCAGCCTTGATGCCGTGCTGCTCCGGGTCAGTGGACGTGCTCCCAGGTGGCTAAATCGTGCTTTTCCGATCCGCTTGCTCCTGCTCACGTTCGCCCGGTGGCCCCCCCGCCTCGCGATGCCAGTCCGCCTTATGCTCGTGGACAACGGGGGGCCGACATGGGGTACCTCGGGCCGGGTGCCCGCCAGTCGCTGGACATATGGTGCAAATCGTGTCTCGTGGATCCAGCCGTCTTCTGACGACCATTGGACGCCCCGTCCGTGCCCGACGGGTATGAATCCCCTCCTGCCCACCCATGGGGTCCCCAGGGGATCCTATGGGATCCCCCCCCTGGGATCCTAACCCCCCATGGGATCCCCCCCCATGAAGAGTCTCCCGATATGAGTGGCAGGCCAGGAGGCAGCCATTGGGCGGCAAGCCGAGGCGTCGAGCACGCATGTTTTTTGCGGTCTCTGCGGCGCTCGCTCCCTTGGTGAAGGAGGCCTGCGGCGACTCGCTATGCCTGGGTGTGCTACCGCAGTGCTTCGCATTCTACTTGTTCCTGCCCAGCAGACTCAGTTGGCGGCTTGGCTCGCGCGAGGGGGTAAGGGGAGGGGGAGTTGCCTCTTTTAAGCAGGGACCGACCGTCCCGGTACTCCTATAGGCCTACCACGAAATGCTGCGAAAACCCCCCAATTTTCTGAGAGCAAAAAACACTGATCTTTGAAAATAAGCCCGATGTGCTAAAACAAGACAGTCCCAGCCAGACATGTTCTAGGAACATTTCGTGGAAACCACAAACGGTTCGTAGAACATTCTTTGGTAGGCCTATAGGCACGCCAGGACGCTCCGCCACTGCTGGACTCGGAGAGACCGTTTCCTATATGGCGCCGGCCCTGCACATAAAGGCAAGGCCCGCGCCCTCTAAGAAAGAGGGATGCTTCAAAGAAGCCTTCCCCCCTCCTCCTACCCGCCCTCTGCGCGTGGCTGAACTTTCTTACCCGCCACAGTTACAGTCAGCCCGTATAGTAAGGACGCACGGCAAAGATGCAAGGGCCTACGTCGACACCCTGCGAGCGAGGGCGCGGCCAGCCAAGGCTGCCAGGGACGGGCCAAGGGGGAAGGATCGCAGAGGGTGCCCTCGGAAAGTCGCTCCTCCTCACCATGCGGGTTTGACAGGAATTCCCCTCCGCGTGACGGAACTCTTCCTGCCCACCACTGGCCATCGCTCGGACGTCCATTTCCTGTGTTTTTGTCGGTTTCGTGCGTGGATTTTTCGTCAAATGATCAAGGATGCTCCTCGATGGTCCTCGCCGAAGGAAAAATGCACACGTCCGAGCGATGCCAAGCCTCTGCTGCGGCCCTCGGGGCTTGGGGGGGAGCGCGGCACGCGCGGCCCCCGTCGGGGGCAGCGGCGACCTCGGTCGCCGCGCTGCCCCGCAGCCACAGGCGCGCCCCGCACACCCTGGCAGAGCGAGATCGCGTGAGCGATAATCTTTTGTGTGCAGCGGGAGCTCGACGACCAGAAACCTTCCACGAGAAACCCAACCCTGAGACCCCAGGACGCCAATTGATTTGTGGTGTGGGGGCGTCGCGCTTCCCATTGCAAAACCATCGACATCCAGAAAAACCCAGGGCACCCTGGAGGCAAGCAGGCTGTCTCTTGGCATGGGCTTCCAATGTAGTTGCCACCTAGCCCTCCTCAGGTTGGGCAGCTGTCTAGAATAGAGCACTGCTCGTGCGTCTCATTCTCCTCCCATCGCACCTTTTCTCCTCCCCGTCTTGTCCTCCCGCCGTGTGAATCCTGCTTTCTTCCCCAACCCCCTGTGTTGGGCATTCGTTTATTTCGTCATGAGGCCAGATGTGCTTCCTTCCTCGCTTTGCAGCTGCTTTATTCGAGCGATGCATGGTCGTAGGGATAACATAGTTGGATAACCATGCAACTCCACATACTTGGTGGTACGGGTAGGTATTCCACACAATTGGATAACCATGTAGTGTTGCCTGAACCCCGACTCCCCGGTTCCGCGCAACGGCTCGCCAATCCCGACAGCACCGCTTTGCGCGCAACGCTTATGAACAATATTACACGTCGGCCGGAAGAAGTAAGTACAAATACGAAGTAAGAAGGCGTTCCAATATTGGGCTTCCGCCCGCCCCCTGAAAAAGAGGGAAGAGAGAAAACCGCTAGACTTTTGAAGTAGGAAGGCACCTAAAATAAAGGAGGGCTTGGGCCTCCGAAAATGCCTACTTTAAACGACTGGCGTGTGTATCTCCCCCTCGGTGTTCCTTTCTCTCATGCAGGAGGGCGGCAGAGGGGCAAGACTGTCAGGCCCATGGCAACCGCGCACCACGCTGACCATATAAGCTCAGCCCCCCCCCCAGCACCCCGTCCCGCGATAATTCCGATGATCCTCCTCCTCGTCCTCCTCCCGCATCCTCTTACGCGCCTGCGCGGTGCTCGAGATTCGCCGTCGTTCGGGAGCAGTGCTGGTCCTGCCAGGGGGGTCGCGCAGAGTCCGCTGCCCTCGAAGTTGGGTCGCGCAGAGTGCGCTGCCACTTCTATGATGTGAGGCTTGAGTAACGTATTTGGACTCTCCGCGCATTGCTCATTGCTCATTGCTCCTCCTCCTCCTCCTCCTCCTCCTGCTCCTCCAACCCATCCTTCTCACTCTCTTTTTCCTGGTCCTGCACATCATCATCATCATCATCATCATCATCATCATCTTCCTCTCTTACTCCTACCCCTCATCATCCGCCCTCCTCCTTTTACTTGTCCGCCTCCTGATCATCATCATCCTATTCTTCCTCATCGTCATCATCATTGTCATCATCCTCATCATCATTATTATCCTCATCAACCTCTTCTTCCTCCGCGCCCTCATATTCCTCGTCTTCCTCATCAGCCGCATCATATTCTTCATCCTCCTCCTCCTCCTCTTCCTCATCCTCCTCATCCTCATCTTCTTATTTACCCTCTTCATTCTCACCCTCATCATCCTCATCATCCTGCTCGTCCTCCTCCTCCTACTCCTCTTCATCCTCTTCTTTCTCATCCTCCTCCTACCCCTCACCCTCCTCCCTCCTCAGTTTCCTTGTCCGCCTCCTCATCCTCATATTCCTCTCCCTCCTCCGCCTCGGCCTAACTGGGTGCAACCATCCGTAGTTTGTTATGAATCGAGTGGTTGTTTTTTGTTTGCTACTTCTCTCCCCAGCGCTGCCGCCACAGCACGCCATGCCAGCTGCATCAGCGAAGGCCGTGAAGACTAAAACCGACAGGTGTCGTGATCGCAAGCGCGCCAAGTCCTTGAAGAACTGGATCGCCAAGCCGTGGGTCAAGCAGTACCTGAGGGAGGCTGCGCAGAGACACCTGCGGAAGTATCACAAGACGCGCGCAGCTTTGCGGGGCGAGAAGGCCGCCCTCGCTCAACAGGTCAAGCGCCAGCGCAAGGACCTTTTCAACATGCGTCGCGATGTCTTCGTGGCCCAGGTGTCGGGGTGGACTTAAAACACTTCCTTGGCCCTT